CTCACAGTCCAGAAGAAGACTGGCAGTTGCCGGGGTCTGGGGGTGGTGCTTATTTGTTGGGCACACCATTTCAGTCTGCAAAGATGGAAAGGCTCCGAGGTGACAGGTGGTGACAGTCGCACAGCCAGTGGGCATGTGCTTGATGCCATTGAAATGTCCACTTAAAAAATAACTAGGATGGTCAATTTTTAGGTTCATCTGTTTTTGCCACAATTCAACGTTTTTAGAAGCAGGTGTTAAATAACAAATACTGAATGAGGGCTGGGTGCTAAGTCACCTTGAAATGTCAATTCAAAGAATGGAGAGGGCTCTGGAGCTCCTGCACCAGACACTCCAGGGGCACAGGCCTGCGGGACCTGCTCCCTCCTGGCCACCCTGTCCTCCTTCCACGTGGGACCACTGTGGCTGGGCCTGGCCTCCTGTCCCTGGGCTGACTCACTTCCAGCCCTGGATAGCTCTTCCTTAACACGGGCCGCTGTTTAAATCTTGGGATCATCAAACATGGCTGGAGAGGGTTCCACTGTAACTAATGTCCTCAAGTTAGGTTTTGCAAAGTAGTGAAGAGGCCTGACAGCTAATTCTGAGTATTAAAAATCGTTGGCAAATTGTTAGATCATAAACTAACCTTTGAGAAGGGCGCACTCACTAAGGGAAAACACATGTTGCTTTCCTCCGACCAGAATGACTCCACCTCCTTCGTCCAAAAGGAAAAACCAAAAAGAATTCTTACTCCTTGCTAGGCATGATGACACACATCTATAATCCCAGCAGCTGCGGAGGCTGAGGCAGAGGATCGCAAGTTCAAAGACAGCCTCAGCAACTTAGTAAGACCCTGTCTCAAAATAAAAAACAATAGGGGCTGGCTGGAGATGTTGCTCAGTGGTTAACTGCCCCCAGGGTTCATCCTCTGGTTTAAAAAAAGAAAAAAAAATCTCACTTATTTTGGTTTGGCAGGTAAAGTCTTTCAAAGGACAGGGTCCCCTGGGTGGGTGACCACAGGACACTCATAGAGGTACCCCTGGGGGTCTCCCACTGTTCTAGCTGACCGCAAAGTAGCTTCCGGGGACACCAGGCCAAAACTGTGGTGACACTGTTTGCCTGCCCTGGAGGAGCGAGGAAGGGGGACTCCAGCACCTCAGATACTGCCGAGGAGCAGAGCCCTGGGGACACTGGGTGGGCAGAAACGAAGTGTGCTTCTGGCCAGTCTTCCTCAAGTCACTGGCTCCCCTCCTGCCATCCCTAGGCTACCCCAGCTCCAAGTTCAGAACTCACAGTCAAGCTTTCAGACTCTGTATATCCACTCGACAGACCTCTGTGTCTCATTCCCCTGGGGCCGCCATGCCACATGCATCCCTTGCTCAGTGAGAGCTCACCAGTCTCCAGGACCCGTTAACGGGCCCCCGGAGAACTGATATCTTTCCCTAAAAAACTAAGTCTGATCAAGACCAACCAACCAAGCAGTGCAAAGAGCAAGCCTTGGGGCAGACAGCCCAAATGAAATGCATCCTTGGCCAGCCACGAGATACCAAGAGGGGACAATTCTCAGTCAGCAGCTGATGAGCCCCATCTTGGTCTCCATTTGCCGGCTGGGAAATTGCAGGGTACGAGCTTCAGCCGCTGGACTGGAGGAAGGCGGGAACCTTTTGGGCGGCATGTGGTATCTCACTCTTTTCCAGAACTTGGTCTTGGCACACTGCGATGACTCTGTGAGGTCCCCCGTCCACTGGATGGCCCCGTGCTTCTGTCTCATGTACTGAATCGACTCTGGCATGGTGGTATAGTCCTCAATCTTCTCCAGTTCAATCAGGATGACCTTCATCCCAAGCTGGATGAGGGCGTTGTAGACGGCAATTTGTTCTTCTGACATGTTCTTTAGCAGACCAAAGCTGGGCGACTCGGGGACTATAATGAGGATCAGCCTCCTGCACAGCTTAATGTTTTCATCAATGACATGGGCCACAGCTGGAAACAAAGAATGAAGACTCAGAAGAGCTCAAGAGCAGAACAGCCTGGGTGGTAATGCTACGGAGCACATTAGAAAGGGTCACTGCGGAGAGGAAACGGCCTTTAAAATCAGCCGGATCTGGGCAGGAATGGATTCATGAAACTTGAAGCCTTCCTGGCTCTCTCATGACTTGTGTTTGGTTTTGTTTGGGGAAGTCTGTTGTTATGTCAGTTTCCCTAGCTAACAAGTATTTATCATGCCTAGCTTTGTATCCCCCCAGTTGCTGAAGGTCTGTTATCTATTACAGAATGAACAGATTTACAAAATAAATTTTAGAAGGACAGGAAAAACATAGTTAGTTCAAATGTTGTGTTAGTCTAACATTTGTATTTTCCTTTTGTTCTTTACAGCTATTTAAATAACCAGAATTTATGTGACTAATTTAGAAACCAAATAACACCCACTGACGATGGCTTGCGGGGCTGGGGCCGGGGTGGGGAGGCGGGGAGCCTGGCTCTGCAGATATTTGGTGTGCAGTTGTCTCCAAGGGGATCTAAGAGTAGACTGTCAACCTCCCCAAGGACCGGTTCTTTGGGTTTCTAGTGTCTGGACAAGTACACAGTGCATGGAAGAACTCAGTGATTAACTGCTCCATTAGTGAGCAAATGTATTTCCTAGTGAGCAAAAAACGGCCAGGTGCAATGGCACATGCCTGTAATCCCAGCAGCTCGAGAGGTTGAAATAGGAGGATCACAAGTTCAAAGCCAGCATCAGCAAAAACAAGGCACTAAGCAACTCAGTGAGACCCTGTCTCTAAATTAAACATGAATATAGAGTTGAGGATGTGGCTCAGTAGTCGAGTGCTGGGGAGTTCAATCCCTGGTACCAAAAAAAAAAAAAACCCCAGGATTTTAGATCATAGACATTTTGCTGCACAGCCCTCAAAGGAGAAGAAAGGAGATGAGAGGGAACTTCCGTGACAAATGTTGATGCTGTCCTAAGCTCCCTACTGGACCCCACTCAGGTTAGTTCTCGTAGCGGTGCTAAAGAAGCATCCCTATCCCCATTTTACAGAAGAGACAAGCGAGGTTCAGATACTGAATGAATTGCCCCAAACCTCATGCCAAAATGAAATGGGAGAAGTCTATTAAAAACTCCCACTTCTTTTGGATAGAAAAGGAGCCTGTGGAGTTGAGCTTCCTAAGTCAGCTTTAACATTACCTGACTTGTATATTTAAACCAATTGGGGAATTCAGTAGATAGACTCAATTACAGGAGGTCAAATGATGGTTTTCTTCCTTCAGTGTCTGAACCAAAGCTGTGTTCCTGGCTGCCTGTTCACGTGAACAGGAAAGCTACATCCTCACTCCAAAGGCGGGCTTGCAGGACTGCAACCAGAATCCCAGACAGGGGCAGCTTGAGGAGCCTTATGAGAGACGGCAGCTTGTTCCACCTGCCTGGGCTCCAGTCCCCGCCTTCCCAGGGCGCTCGGGGCAGGTGAGCAGAGTCTCCTTCCCTTTTTTCATTTACTATTGGGCTCCTCACTTGAAACGCACCTTGTCCGGGGAATTCATCCCTGCCGAATATGAACAACTTGTATCTGCACTGTCTCTCCAGCACCTCGGGCAGCAGCTTCAACACTAGAGTGTCCACATCGTGCCTCTGGCTTTCTTTTTGAGGCTTGGGGTACAAGACGTATGCATCATACAGCTTCCCGTCTGAAAAGGAAATGGGAGAAACTCACACAGTGATTCCTACGGAATCCCCTTCGGTGGACAAGGTGAACACCTGAGCTGCTGCCCTGAAGCCCTCTGTCCTTGGGTTCAATGACTTCTGTGTGTCCAGCCACCCACTTGGCCCTCACAGGCCACCGTAGCCCTACTATTTGAGAATGGGACACCAACCCATCCCCACTGCATGAGAATGAAGCTGAGGCAGGACGATGACTTCATTCTGCAATTCCTCAATCCAGCCCAAGTCCTCTGATTTTATGGAGGCCGCTGCCTTTAAATGGGGCCCCAAACAAGAAGAGACTGAGGTTCTACCAACATCATCCTCAGTGCATGCTTCACCAGGGAAAGTGAGCCCAGTCCCTCTTGAGTTAGACCCACCAGTAGATTCTGTCAGTTCCGTTTTGCAGGCTGGCCTTGCAGTGAGAGAACGAGCCTTTGAGTGGACTGTGACTGTGCCTTGCAACAGCCCACGTCACCATCCTGAGAATGAGCAAGAATTCACCGAGAGCAGAACAGTCCCTCCGCTCAGGGCAAAGAGGAACTAGACACAGGACATAACTGGGCAGACCATTCACATACACAGAAGTAAAACAACCCGAGGCACTACAAGATGACGACAGCTAAGTGAACAGAAGAACCAGAAAGAAAGGAAAGTCCTCTGGAGGTCTTAATAAAAATTGCAAAGGACATGCAACAGAGAGGGTTTTAAGAAATGAGGGTCTGAGAGTGCAGGGGAAACAGGCACAAAGGGGAGCAGCTTAAGACGAGGGTGGGAGGGGAACACTGATGGCCTGTTCAGGAATCCTGGGAACCACACTGGGGTAGAGGGTGTGAGTGGAAGAAGAGCCGGTTACGCCCAGCTGTGGGCATCTCATCGGAATAGGTGATTTCAAGCTTCAGGTTTTGGAAATTCAAAGCCAACCTAATGGGTATCAGGGGGACAGCCATTCTTCTCTTTTCTCTTTTTATGGGAGTTAGATGAATAGACCTGGAGAAAGGTTCAGAAATTAACAAGTGGAATCAAAATCTCTAGTTTCTGTGTAACAGTCATTAAAAAGTCTATTTGGACAGTAGTTAAAATGCATACTATTCTGGGTGACATGTTGCCTTCTCTTGTTCCATCAATTCCCATACCAACACTGCCCATCTCCAGGAGAGGGTCACCATTCTTGGCCATCCTGTGGAGAATGACAAGGCATGTGTACACACACATCTGTGCATGCTCCTGCAAACACATGCTCAGGCACATGCCGTCATACACATACATGCACATGATGCAATTGTACCATGCTTGCACATGCATGCACTTCTCCCCACCCTCGGCCATGAAGGACACTGGGTGATATTGGGGACTCTGGCTCCCTGCTCTACCTTCAGCACCAGGAGCAGGACCCTCCCTGCTCAGAAGAGTGCCCGATCAGACTTAGGTTAAATCTATGTTGTTGGACAGGGAGATTCTAGATCATGGGTGGATTCAGCCTTTTAATGGATGGGATCATGGGACATTCATTAAGGGAACAATTAATTTGTGTCTAGAGATGGCCAAAATCCAACACAACTGAACTTTCTGTGAAATCTTAAAGGTCTCCAGACTAGACCAGCATTGCAAATAGTGGATATTTTTCTGAATAAACTTTAATGTCCCACACTCAACTTCCTGAAACTAGAAATTTTTTATTAAGAGAGAAAAAATGAAGGAAAAAAAAGAGAAAGATTTTGTAAAATGTTTATGTTTTTCAAAATTTTAGGAAGGAATTAAATTTTCCCATTCGAAAATTTGGTGATATTGATCCTTTTGTCTCTGAAAGAGGGTTGTTTGTGTTGGTGGTTTGCTCAACCCAGAGAATAGCTCCCCTGGTCTCTTAGCTATAGCTAACCCTCAGCTCCGTCACCACTCTGTCCCAGAGCCTGCCACTGGATTCTCCCTCTGCTCATTCTGCTTCTCCTCCCCGCCCCCACTGACTCTAATTTAAAACAAATAAGCAAACAAAAAAATGAACCACTTTTGCTAAGTGTCCTCTCTCTGATATTCTGTTTCTAAACAAGCCATCTGAGGATACACATTCACCTTGCTCTACAAACCCAGAAGACATTTGGGTGGCAAGAACTCGCCTTTCAAAAACTTTTTAAAATTCAAAATATAAAAATGTTCAACTTTTTTGTTCATTTTTTTTTCTTTCTAAGTTTTTTTTTTCTTTTCTGCAGTGCCAGGAAGTGAACCCAGCATTTCTCACCTGCTAGGCACATGATCGACCACAGAGCTTCATCCCTAACCCTCTGACTAATGCTTTTGAATAAAAATACTCTTTGCTGCCTTGTTTTAAAAAATGCAATGTGTTTTCATCACTTTCGATGGACCGATCCATAATTCACTGACCAGGATACTAAAAGATCATGCAGGGAACGGCATAAAGCTTATTCCCAATCAATCTTGTGCAACTGTGCCTGGCTGTATTCTCCAAAGGCAGGCCCAGCCACATTTCTGGTCCTACATGTTCTTTCACAATGTTGCCACACCCCTACAAAGAGGGGAATCTATTTCCACTTCTTTGAAATTAGGGAGGCCTCCATGGCTGCCTCACAATGTAGGAGGTATTGGAATTGGCAGTAGAAATCCAGGAGGCCTAGATTATACCAGAAAGCACAACTTTCCCCGGGTTCTCTTGCTCCTGAAATGCTCACCCTGGGAAAACAGCCGCCATTCCATGAAGAAGCTCAAATGTGACCCAGAGAGAGAAGACTTGAAGAGGCTCTTGCACAGAGGGACTGAAGCCATCAGCCAACAGCCAGAGTCAGTTGCCAGTGGTCCAACTGGAACTGAGCTGGGCTGTCCCCACTGTGTCGTGCGTATCCCTGGTCCACAGAACCCAGAAGCAGAATGAAGGGCTATTTTACACCAGGACATTTTGAGGTAATTCGTTTCCCAGCCATAGCTAAAGAAACGGCAAATAACGATGGGCTGCCCACATCCTATTTCACCAAGAACATTTCAGACACACAGACCTACTGGTGAGCGTTCTGGGGACAATCACAGGGGACAGGGGACGATCACACGTCCATCTCTCTATACTGGGGAGGTGACAGTTCATCCACATCCTGGCCAAGCGCCCTTCATTTTCTGAGGAGGTTCAACCTGATCTTCAATATTAAAGTTGGTGCATGTGCTCTTATTGATTGTTTGCCAAACACACACACACACAAATCTAACTTTTATAAACTAGTGTTTATGAAAGGTTGCCTAAAAACTATTCAATTCTTGACTTTTCTCTCAATTTGATATTGTTGAATTTTAGACTTGATAAACCCAGAGCAGAAGAAAAAAAAAAAATTGGACAGGTTCAATGTACCTTCAACTAAATGCCTTTAATGGTTTGGGGTATTCAGCTCCAGCATGCATAGAAGTCACTAGAAGGAAAGACACCTAAAATATGGTGGTACATTTACCACAGAAATGTCGCAGGCAGGGTTCTTTATATCACACCCTTTAAATAGAGCACATTCCCCCAAAAAGTCTCCCTTGGGAGTGAGTCCCAGAAAACACCATGTTCTCTCATGAGCAATTGAAAGGTTTCTGCGAACAGCATATTAATAAATCTTGTAATTGCCTTTGCTTTAGCTTTGAAAACAAATTCAGCTTTAACAACCAAGACTTGTCATTAGCTCTACCTCCAGCTTATTTAACCTTTCTACCCTTTGTTCACTGTATCTGGTTTGTATCTGGTTTTTTTTGTTGTTGTTGTTGTTTGTTTGTTTTCTAGTTCCTCTGCTCTCCATGCACATTCTCCACACAGCCACCTCGAGTATGAGGAGGCAGGTGCGATCCCTCCAGGAGCTTGGTAAACTAATCCCTCCACTCCTGTGCACACATGCCCACCTGCCAGAAGAGCTTGACAGAGGATGTACAGAATTCTCTGACTTCAGCCGGGCCTGAGAATGACTCACACGAAAACCACGAGTTAGACTCACCTAACTGTTCACCATGTCACACAGCTTGATGAGCCTCGTTGGGGAAGATGACTTATTTTACTTATGTAAGAGGACATCATTTCTCTCTCCCTCCCTTGTCTCTGCCATCCATTACCCTGTTTGTTCCCAGATGGCTTAGAAAATATCCTCAAGGGAAACAAAGCCGTAAACGAGATCAGAGTCTATCACCAGCTCGTTGTGAAAGCCAACCCTTGTATTACAAGGTAGCGAGGTGTAGGCAATTTAATCACAAAGCACACACATTCTTTCCGGCATTAAAAATTAAAGGGACCATTGGCTGCCTGTCAGCCCACTCACTGGTTGTGGGGCGACAGCCAGGTTTGGCCGTGGGTGGGGCTCCCTGAGTCTCCTCTGCTCTGCGCGTCTGCTTGGCATGAGTCACTATTCCTTTTCTTCTTTTCCTGTTAACCTCAAATCACTGACAGTCAGCTTCACCAGGCACTCTGCTCCATACCAATAATTCACAGCCAATCGTGCTCCTGCGAGTTCCAGTGAGTCAGAGAGAGACAAATGCCAAGGAGTCGGAAAAGCTAGACCTTCCAGAAAGACCACGTCAGCCAGGCGATCCTGTTAGTCAAGACGGAAAGCAGCCGAACCACTCCTATCTGTGTCAGAAGAAATAGGTGGTGGTGGACCCGATCCTCTTCTCAAAAAGGATGACAGTCACAAGCGCTTAGAGCAAACTCTGTGCTGACCGCAGCCAAAGCCAGATACACAGCCTCCCAGTCCATCTGCAGCCCTACGAGCGCTGCATGCTGCGCGCCTGGCACACAAGGCCAGAGTTCAACATGGCACTTCATCACCCACCAGGCACCTGCTGCTCTCTATGTTGCTCGGGGTCTGCCGATGCTTCTCATTGTTCTATTTTCTTTTCTCTTTTTGGTACTTGAAATGGAACCCAGGGTCTCATACATACTAAGCAAGTGCTCTACCACTGAACTGCACTCCCAGGCCCTGTGGTGCCAATTTTTAATCCTGACTTTTAACTTGGAAGTTAGTCCCGGTTAGGACGTCTATATTTTATCCAGTAAGTGGACAGTAACTTGTACCACAATTTTCATATGAAGAGCAGGCACTTAGAGTAAACCGTGCTCTTGTACACATTAGCTACTTATAAAAACATGCTCTGGTCAGCACTGCAAGTTTCTGGACTGGAAAGGTTTAACTGTGCACATCCCGACGCACGTCAGCTGTGCAGACTTCTCTTGGCTTTGTACCAATTTTTCCAAGCAACGAAAGAACATTAAAGCAGATTTATTACCTTTTTCAAGATCACATCCATTCTGAGACCAGAGAAAGAGAGAGAGAGTGCAGAGTCACAACCACACCACCCCCTGAAGAATCTTCTTGTCAAATAGCTCTGGTAGGAAAGGAAACGGGGAACTCAAATTCACACTCAGCTCCATCTCTCTTCAACATTGAGAGTTGGACACGGAAACCCCTTTGGGTAACACATCCTGGACCTAAGAGAGGGCAGCTCCTACTCCCCATAATATGAACAGTGCTCGAGTTGCCATGGTGCTGGGGACACATCACAGAAGGACAGCACTTTGCTCTTGGAGACAAAAAATCCCGGTGATCGTGGACAGATCTCTCTGAATCACTGTTTAAGTTTCAGGGAGTTCTAAATTTGCCGATAGCGTGAAAGTCAAGTTTGTGACATACGACAAAGTCTATTTGAAATGGTTATGCTGACGACAAGATACCGATTTTAAGGCATTTCTCAGAGAATATACACACACTTACCTTCCATGGCCTTGGTGGAACTGAAGGCACTCCGATACCAAAGTACAATGTCGATCTTAAAATAATTGTAGATGCATAGAACAGATGTGACCACAACGGCCAAAGCAATCAGCCCTCCTATCAGGTAAGCGCGGAAATCTGGAGCTACAAATTGACAGCAAAATAACATCATCATAATCCAGAGAGTTGATTAAGCCCTTTATTCAGGGACATTATAGTATAAATTCCAAAGGAAAGTGTACTCGACATCCATGAGGACCCTACTTAAGTATTTCTTTAAAGAACAGGTATGGGAGTAGAGTAATCTGATCTGGGCCATGATTTTAGGGAGCCAATGGGCTCTGGGGCACTAGAAGAGGAGAACTGCAGAAGTCTTCCTTCTCGTTCCCACTGCAGGACAGCTGCTTTCCAGCTCTGCATGTCCTGGTTCTACGCGGTCAGCACCAGATGCTCCGGCGGTTTGTTTGAAACATTCCCCAGTGTTTACTGCACAGTCTGGATCCACGGCAGGTCCCGATGACAATCCTATATCACATTGCTCCCCCGTCACTGAGCAGCGTGACTCCCGAGTCTCTCTGGAAGCCATCTTTGCTGCCTGAGAAGGAAGCCCTCATCCAGGCCTCTGGGTGCCAGGAGTCCAGGCTGGGGCCCTGGGTGAGAGACAGGTTCTGAGAGGCGGTACCAGTTCTGCTCTGCTTCCTGTGCAAGGATGGGGATGGACAAGCCCTGGGCAGAGCTGGCCAAGGAAAGGAGCAGTACCTCTGGGGCCCACCTCCAGGGAGCAAGGCCCCCCCCAAGCCCCCCACACACACACACACACAAAGAGGAAGAGCAGCGTCCCACCTCACCACAGCCAAACCTGGGCCCCCAAAGAAGGAGCCTCTAGGAAATAGGGAATTTGGAAAGAGGAAGTGGGAGAGAGGAAGAGAAATCCTCCCATTCCTGCCACCCACCTCACAAACCACTTCCTCACAGCCCCTTCCTGATCCTCCTGAAGATGAAGGGTCCCTCCCAGAGGGAATTCACTTAAAAAGAATATTTATTAAAGAGCTTATCACCATCTTCCCTAGGCCACACCATGTTGTAAGCATCACGAGGCCCAAGACTTTCTGTTTCCTGTTGCAGATCTTGAAATACGTGGCACCATAAGGCACAATAACAAAAAGCACATTTGGGGGCGGGGGTCATGGCTCCGAGGTAGAGAGCTCGCCTGGTGTGTATGAGGCACGGAGTTCGATTCTCAGCACCACATATAAATAAACTAAATAAAGTCCTTTGACAATTAAATATATATATATTAAAAAATAATTTAGTTTAAAATAAAAAAGCACATTTGGTGCTCCCGCCCCCCCCAAAATATATATATATATTGATTAAGTCCCAATGCAGCCAGGTGGAAATGCTCCACACACTGGGGCCACATCCCATCCTGACCCCATGTTATAACCGTGTCAGCCCTTCTTTCTCCTTCTTGAATCAACACCACCCCTCTTCCTTTGGGAGAATCCGTGTCTAGGGAGACCTAATGTACAACTCAGGGGTCTTGGTGTGATAAGCAGCCATGACAGGGTGACGATGGCCCCAATATTTATCAGATTCAAAGAGCCCCTGTGTCAGGTAGCAGGAGAGATACCCCAGGATTCTTGAGCTGGTCGTTCATGGCATTCAGGTGTGTTGATGCTCTGTGCTCTGCAAGTGTGCTGAAAGATGACACTGGAATGAGAAAGTTCAAAGGGAGTATGGAGTCTGAAATAGGAGCAAATGGAAAACTCACTGCTGGTACGTCCGAAACCCTGTTAAAAATGGTATTTGTCACTCGAGTCCATGAGGCCACCATCAGCCTTTAAATTTGCCAATAGCATGAAAATCAAGTTTTTGAAATATGACAAAGTCTAAATGGTCGGTGAGGACAAGTGATCAAAAAATTTATGGAAGGGACAGATAATCTAAACAACTTTTTAGTGACTCTGTTTCAGACAAACTGGTAAGATTCAAATCTGGAGGTGTTCTCAGCAAAAAGAAGGAAGTCCAATGGAGAAGTTATAACCTTGACTTTGCCCCCAAGAAAACCAAGAAGCCTGGATTTAAGAGGGTGAGGTTCCTAAGAACTCAGGGCAAACAAAACAATATGCAGCTGGTTGAAGTGGTGCACGCCTATAATCCCAGCATCTCAGGAGACGGAGGCAGGAGGATCGTGAGTTCAAAGCCCAGCCTCAGCAAAAGCAAGGCGCTAAGCAACTCGGTGAGACCCTGTCTCTAAAGAAAATACAAAATAGGGCTGGGGATGCGGCTCAGTGGTTGAGTGCCCCTGAGGTCAATCCCTGGTGTCCCCACCAAAAAAGAAAACAAGCACATGACCAAAATTGCATTGCATATGAGATGTGAAATGAGTGTCAGGAGGAAGGAAGATGAATTCAGTAAACAAGAACTTCTCCACCTGCCTAAAAGGAAGAGACAAAATGTTAGATATGGAAATGAAAAACCCCAAAACAGTGCAGCCTGGGAAAAGGGAGTGGAAAAGAAAGCCATACGCGGATAGCTTTCATCTCTTTCCAGATAAATCCTTTTCAGAAGCTGGCCACAGGTGGGCCATTCAAACTTAGAATGATTCCTAGAGACTTGCAAGATAATCCTCTCCAGGTGCTGGCCACCAACCCCCAACCCCAAATCCCAAATACCCTGAGTGCCCAAACTGTCATGCTCACTAAAACACCTCTCAGTGTAACCTACATAACCCCAAAATTCTCCTTTGGCCAGTGGCTCATTTTCGACCAGGAAAGTAGGTCCACTGAAAGTGAATCCCATTCCTGAATAAAAGGATGAAATGACCCGTGGATCCGTGAAGTTGACCTCTGGGCCCGGCTAAAACAAAGGATCCTACCCGCTGCCCCACGATTGACAGATGTTAATTGGGGAAAGTATAGCACTCGCTCTTTTAATCCTGGATTTGGCCTCAGAAGCCTTCTGAGCAGTGCTTCTGGGTAGTCCATACTGACCGGTTAGGATTGGCATGGAAATCTGTATTGGCCAGATTCAGGTGAGGTTACTGAACAAGGAAGTCAAACTTCTAGGTTGAAGCAGATTGAAGTGGTAACTTCAGGTCTCGTGGTATCTCCAAGGCTTCTCTTCTTCCCCTCTTTTCTCTGGGGTTGACCATGAGTTCCTGTCTCTGGCCTAAGCCAGTCTGCAGGTTCTGCCCTGCTCAGCGCTTGAAAAGCAATTCAGCCCTCACTGGCTTCAAAGTCGTCTCCTTTCTCAAAATATGAGGCCCAGAGAGGACCTGCCTTTGTCTGTGATCTATTTCATAGGGCAGACAAAGGAGACAGCCAATAAGTTAGTGGGAAGAGGTAGATGGGGGATGAGAATGCCAAGCCATGGAGGGTCATTTTTATCCCAGAGGGAAGGAGGTGGGACTAATGTCCAGGCAGGGGAGTGGGAGAGTTCCAGTCATCCTTGGAGAAGGTAATTCTACAACAGTCACCTGGAGATAAGTTGACCAGACAAAGTTCTCAAAGCAAGGAAGTCATTAATAAAATTAATATGATCATCCAAATCCATAATAGTCAACCAGAACCAGGAGAGTAGTAATGCAAACAAACATACTTTTTTTAAGAATTCACTAAAACGCCAGGCTCTGTGGTCACTCTGCAAAATTATCTCTTGATTCTCTCCTACACTGTGATAGGCAACAGGAGGATGAATTGGTCCAATCGTATGGGAAAACAGTGTGACATTATATAGAAAGGCCCATAACACACTCTCATTAGGCCACTCTACTCCTAAAACTGTAGCAGAGAGGATATTCTGCATGCATACCAGGACACACATCCAGGAAGCTTCACAGTGGGATTATTGGCTAATAGTCTAAACTGGAAACAACTCAAATGTCCATGTGCATATATAGTAAAGTGGATGCATGATGATCTAGCTGTTCAAAGGAACAGGACGCAGCAAGGAAAATGAATGAGCTACAGCCACATCTACATCACTGAGGTACCATCACAACCCAGACACCTACGAGGAAATGAAAGTCATAGGAAGGATTCATACTATAGAATCCTTTTCCTATAAAGCTCAAAAACAGGCAAAACTCAATTGTACTTTTTAGAGCTAGCAACACAGATGGGAAAGAAGAGCAATGACTTTCCTAAAAGTTGGAGAAGTGATTATCTAGGCAGGAAAAGGATGATTTGATCAGGAAGGAAATGCCGAGGCTCTTTGGGTCTGGTAACGTGTGTCTGGTTGTTTTTCTTAATCTGGGTGGTAGCTTGGCACGAATCTGCTATGTGATTATTTGGTATGTAACATGTAAATCATATATGTCCTTTCTCATACATGTATTATGTTTCACGATTAAAAAACTAAAAACCGAAATTCCAAATCAGTCTCAACAACAACCCTCCGTGGAAGGTCCCGTTATGATCATGACAACACTGTGGTCACACAACTCCTAAATGGTAAAGCCATGACCTGTGACCCTGGACACCTGGACCTTGCTGTCCCGGGTTGGAAACAGTTCCCGTCTAGGTTAGCAGTGGAAGTGGACAGGAAGTCTCCCTAGAACTCGGCAGCTCACTGGGCCTCGGCCTGAGGGAAGAGGAGGAAAGGAGTGAGATGAGGCTGAATTACCTGGATGACACGGGGGCACCATCAGCAAAGGTAAGAAGCACAGAGAACCGGGAGGTCTGAGAGGGTAGGCGTGTCAGCCAAGGTGCCTGTGCTCTAGCACACGGGTGGAAAGGCAGGACACAGCGGGGGACATTGGTCCCTGCACAGGGCTGGCTCCGAAGCGGTAGAGAAAGTGAGGTGGTCAGGGGTGAGGGTGCAGAGAGAAAGTCAGCACTTAGGACAGGACCTCGGGAAGGACACCGCAGAGAGAGACGGTGCACAAGACCCACCCGAGGCAAGTGGTGGAAACGGGCTCCTGATGAGAGGCCAACGGGAAGAGGAAGCGTGGGCAGTGGAGACGGAGAAGCTCCAGGCTCCTCCCTCCTGGTGTGACCACAGCGGTTCCTCCCAGGTCCAGGGAGAGTTGTGCAGCTGCCGTGTGCCCACGCAGAGCAAACGCAGCTGGGACGGAGGGATTCTGGCCTCCTGGTCACAGCCCAGGGAGAGAATGCACACCCAAAACCGCAGGACACTGGGCGCACGTCCTCATTCCCCACTATTCTAAGGAAGGCTGTGGACACACAAAATGTCAGGAGCTCGGCAGAAGCAGATGCACATCTGCTAGCTTCATACAGCAACGCCTGTGTTTTCTGTTAACTTCTAGAAAAAAACTTCTGGAAGGGTTTTAGCTAGATGCATAAGAACATAGGTTTAACTGATTACTAAGGAACACTGGCCATTCAAGCTCTCTGCTGTATATGAGTTATACACCCAGAGAGAGAGAGAGAGAGAGAGAGAGAGAGAGAGATTATACTAAAAGAATCAAGGAAAAAATGCCTTGGTAAACTACACAGCATTTTACAAGGTATCTCATACACTTCTCCTGTAGGTTATCAACTTAGTTGATCTCAAGGTAACTTAGTTGATATCACCCTCTATTATTACTCTCTATTCTCTGGCTTTAAGACCTCCAATGCATCCTTTAAAAGCTCTATACAGTTGTTGAGTGGGGAGCACGCCTGCTCAAATATCAGAATCATATATATATAAGTTTGCAAAGTTATGTGGTGAAAATATGCATAAGCATTTTATTTGCATAGGAAATGATTTGTCACAATCTAAAAGCTGAAAATCGCAACTAAATGGTCATACAAGTTGAACAATGAGGTTTTGTAAAGGAAAACTCAAGTTTCCTGGAATCTTAATGCATACATTGTCAATATATATGAATGTGGCATTTTCAAAGATGCTACTTTACCGCAGCCTTACTCCATGCAGAGTAGAAGGCACCAATTCTTCCCCAGGTGACACTCAGTTCCACCGCCCTGTGTCACCATTGCACACGTGACTTCCCCTTGTCTGTCAGATGCGTTTCCTGCCCAGCACGTTGAACATGTGGAGCAGTGGGTGACACACTGGGTCTTACCTGGGAGCGTTAGCATGAAGTAGGCTGTGGACACTCCGGCGTGACACATGAATGGAAGTCCGTAATCTTCCATTTTCACTTCTAAGAAGGTTATGTTTACCGTGTAGAAAATGTGTTCCGGAAAAGAAACATTGGTTCTATAAAAGAAAACAGTGGAGCGTAACGCTTGGGTCAGATGAACCCAACATAATTCATAATGTTTTTTTTCTGGAGACAAAATTATGTATTTTCTCCCCGCCCCTGGAGAACACTTTCACCTTAAGAATTTTTTTTTTTTTTTTACCCTAAGAATACTTCACTGAGCGACTCCATGAGGGGTATAGATTATGTGGTTCCAAATTTGCATTTTCTTCTGGATAGTGGCAAGGAAGTATGGTTCTGTTAGTGAGAGACTTGATCTCTGTGCCCAAAAGCCCTGCTTCTCTAACTCAGCTCCACCTCTAGGCCCTGCACAAGCTCTATTGCCCTGAGGTCACGGGGCCCATTTTACACCACCCCAATCAGACCTCCAGACATTGAGTTTATACTATGTCCTCTCTCCCCAAGTACTCCTGCCTTGGCTCTGGTTTTTACTATTTAATCCTCAAAGACCAGTGGTTCAGGATGTAACTGAATAGGAATAGGCTGGTTTCAAGCAGCAGTTGAGAGAAATGGACATTCTTTCACTGAGGCACGCTTCAGGTTTTGCTGCATAGCCCCTTAGGCCGGGCTCACCTCTCTGAGCCAGCTGCTTGGCCACACAGCACACTGCAATCTTCAAAAGTCAAAGCCGAGAGGAGCGGTGGCTGAGCAGGGGGTGGGAGCTGTCTGTAAGCAGCAGCAGTAGCAGCAGGTAGTAGGTGGAGACAGTCTTGCTAGGTTTTAGAGAAGCCAGAGGAACAAAGCACCTACTCGATTCCCTCTCTGATGCGCTTGGATTCACTGTAGTAGGTGTCCACCAAAGTACTGTTGACCCTCCAGCAGCGCAGGTTGGTGTTGTCCTTCGAGTCTGTTATGTTGCAGTCCACAATGAGAGTGGAGCCTAGAGCAACCAAATTCACAGATAGTCAGTGAAAAGTTCACCAGGTTTCAGTGACTCAAATTGGTGAATTCCCAAATGCATCTTCTTTTGAGATTTGAGTGTCTTGAGTACCAGAATTTCCCCAGCCCCGGGTCAGTCGGCTCTCTCCCCCTGGACAGAGATCAGGAGGGATGAGCCGGCTTCCAGGGTGTCTATGGTAAATTGAGTTGCACATGCTGCCGAATGCCAGCACTTCCTCTACAATATCAGAGACACAAAGACCACCTGTACTCGAGCTGCAGCCGAGAGCTCTACCGTTTACAAAGCATTGTATACGGATCTTCTCCCTCAGTCTTCATATCTTGTAAACGATCCAACAAGGCAGAAGAAAGGGGAAGAGTTATCCCTGTGTTAGAGATGAGAAAATTGAAGTTTCAGACAGATGGACTGATTCGCCCAAGGTCGTAAGTGAAGTACAGGGAGAGACGAGACAAACACCGTTTTCT